TCACCACCACCACCATCATCACTATCATCACCACCACCACCATCATCTATATTATCACCACCATCACCTTCATCACTATCATCATCACCACCACCACCGTCGTCATTATCATCAATATGATATTATCATTATTTTTATTAACCGACTTCATTATTATTATGTTTTATGGACTCTCGCCTTCCCATGGCCTAAAAGATTAATTTTTAATTTTTAAATGAAAGAGGCGATATTATTACTGTGTTTACTTGCTCTTTCTTTTTTTTTTAGAAATTAGCGCGAAAAGAATAGTAAATTAACAAATCTGGGAATAAACAGATCAAATTAAGTTTGTAGGGGCCAATACTACGCTATAGTATTGACGCCTAATTGTTTAAATTGATAGATGATAAAAGTATAAAGTTTATTAATAAAGTAAGAAAATACAAGGCTCGTTGAGGATGTGTATCTCTTACGTTGTTGTTACGTTAAGACATATGAATGTTCGTTAAACACTCAGGATGTCTAGATGAAATGAATGCTCGTTTAACACTAAACTTACTTGCCTACTTACGTGCCCATGTAATGTATGTAAGCCACGGACAGTAGGCCACGGACAGTAGGCCACGGACAGTAGGGCACAAAGTAGAGCGCAAGGTAAGCGGAAGAAAAATGTGCGGTTGTAAACCGTACATGCTGCCAAAGGCAAAAGGAAAATATATCAAACAACAACGTAAGATAAACAGCAACCTGTACAAATATTATATTATACTTAAATATTTGAATTCAGGATGTCTCTATCCCGGTGGAGTCAAAATCAAAGAGGCGCCTTGGTTTGTTAGGTGCGCGAGTGATGTGTTGATACAAGGGGGTAGGTTGCATCTCAACTGTATTGGAAGTGGTCATCCCGGAAGATGTGTGCTGCACGGCGTCGACAGGTATCGCGGTCCTTCCTCGTGTCTCTGACGGCTTCTTATATCGTTTTCTAAAATTATTGATGACGAAACAAACGATTGCAACGCAAGCTCCTCCCACTAGAACGTAGAGGACCACAAACTGGTGGGCATCGTGCGTCGACAGATCGTCGCTGAGAAGGTGCTCGTTACTTCGTTGTCGTACCAACTGTTCGTCAAGACGTTTGTGGATCTCACTGTGGTTTGATGTTGTGGACAGATAGACGTTGCTCGTAGTGATATTTAAATGAACTTGTTGGTTCATTTGCAGATTTATGTTTGGTATATCGGGAGTGTCAAGTTTTGACTGTAATTTACTCCCAAAGTGTGTATATGAGTAAATCTCTGCTTCCTGTGTTTGAAGGACACATCCATCTGACAAGTTTAATATTCCGACTCGAGTGAGATTAGTTGCAATTTGAATGTTCTTTCCACATATGATACTCGCATGACAGTTATTGCAACATACGTAAAGCCAGCTGTTACTTTGATGTAATTTGATCCAATCATCGGTACATCTCTCTATTTTTGCATCACATTGTATGTTGGATTGTTGTACTATTATTTTTGCTTCACATGGCGCTTTCAAGCTATGCAAATTATATATAGGGTAGTTTATGTTGCTTATATAGCTGTCCTCTTTCATTTGCACATATTTTCTATATTTTGTATATATTTCTGGACTTTAATATTTCCTTGCCAGTAAGTAGTCAAATTATAATAAACTAACAAAGTCCACTCGTTATGAATCAGCTGTACGTCTCCAATTTCATCGAAGTACATAGGTATTGTTTTTGTAATTTGAGTAGCGTTGAACATCGGTTGCGGTAGTGCCATTGTACTCGATAGGAATGTAAATAAAGAAAGAATGAGCAAGGTTAGGTAATTGCTCAGTTTTTTCTTTTGTAGTTTGAGTGGTTTGTTTTTATTTTCTTCTGTCTGCGTCTTTGTTTCTGTTTTCGCTTGAAGGTCGAGCAAGTTTGATGATTCTCGTTTTGGTAGCGGAGCTAGTTTGGTAATAGGTCGCTTTAGAGTGCTGTTCTGCGTCTGGATAGTTACTACGCGAACGTAACCATCGGCTCCCGGATGCAGGTCCGTAACGCGTGCCATTGCCCACTTTCCTGCCGGGATATTATCCTCCTTCAAGATGACTAGATCGCCAACACTTAAGTTTTCCTTTGGTTTTAACCACTTGCTCTTCGTCTGCAGTTGGTGTAGATACTCGTTTGACCACCGCTGCCAGATATGTTGATGCATGAGCTCAGTTATCTTCCATTTATTGCGTAAATCAATTGTTTTCTCATTACAGTTGTCTTGAGGCACTGACATTACGGGGGTCCCCGTGACAAAATGACCGGGTGTCAGGTAGTCGAGATCGTCTACGTCTTCCGTTAGTGGACATAGCGGTCTGCTGTTTAAACAAGCCTCGATTTGAGCAAGTAGTGTAGTGAATTGTTCAAAGTCAAGTTTCTGTTCTCCAAGGACTCGCATAAGATGATATTTCATCGATTTCACTGCAGCCTCCCAAATTCCAGCTGCAGAAGGCCAACTTGGACAAAGAAAATGCCATTCGATTTCTTGCTCGCTGATAGCGTTGAAGAATTCTGGTGAAGTTATCGTTAGATACTCTTGAAAGTCATCATGCAGGATCTTGGCTGCCCCTTTGAAATTGGTACCGTTGTCTGAGTACATATGCTTGGGCGTTCCTCGTCTAGCGCACAAACGTTTCAAAGCAGCTAGAAACGTTTGAGTACTTAGGTCTGAAACCAGTTCAATGTGTACGGCCTTTGTCGCAAGACAGATGAAGATTGCCACATATCCTTTACACGTCTTCACCCCTCTTCCCTTGTTAAGCTTTACTTCGACGTGTCCCGTGAAGTCAACACCGCAGTGAGTGAATGGTCTGGATGCTGAGACTCTCTGTTGCGGCAGATTACCCATAATTTGAGAGCTCTTTGTTGTTTTGAATCGGTGACATCTGACACAGTAGCGTAAAATACCTTTTACTGCACGGTTGCCACCTACAATCCAGTATCGCTGCCTAGTTTGGCCTAATGTCAAGCGAACTCCTCCGTGTAAAGTCTTCTTGTGGGCGTGATCAATAATGAGTTCTGTCAAACGGCTCGTGTGGGGTAGTATCGCTGGATGCTTCGCTTCGTCAGATAAGTTGGAATTCTGAAGACGTCCTCCAACTTGTAGAATGCCATTTTCATCCAGATGTGGTGTTAAGTTCAGCAGTTTACTTCGACTGTGTGGTGACCCATTTTTTCGTAAGCTGTTTATGTCCTCACTGAAGTATTCGCGCTGCGTTTGTTTTAAGATACGAGTCGCCGCGTCACTTATTTCTGTGTTTATTAAATGTTCGTCGCTACACGCTTGTACCTTGTGACGTATTCTCGCGACGAAACGTAATACCCATGCGAGGCACCGAGTGGCACGTGTTATCGAACTATGACGTTCTAACAGCTGTTTGATAATGTCGTCACCGCTAACGTCATAGTTGCTCTGTTGCGTAGCACAGCATTCGAACGTCAATCCTTCGTCGGTCGAAAAGGTTTTGCAGGCTTTCTTTTCACGAGACTCAATTCGGAGCCAATGAGGTCCTTCCCACCACAACTGATAGTTTAATAGTTGAGAGGGGAACAGGCCGCGCGTTGCGCAGTCGGCTGGATTCTCTTTGGTGTTTACATAACGCCATCTAGAAGCCGGCACGATGCTAGTGATGTTCATCACTCTATTTGCTATATATTTTTCCCATTTTTTATCGCTTCCCTGCAGCCAAGCTAGCACCACTTGTGAATCTGTCCAGCAGTGGACATCGACTTGATCATGGGAAAAAATTGGTATAACTTTCTCCATAAGCTTGGCGAGTAGAAGAGCTCCGCAAAGCTCTAATCTGGGTACTGAAGTCTTTTTCTTAAGTGGAGCCACCTTTGTTTTGGATATAAGTAAAGTAGTGACGTATTCACCGCGGTCATTGATAGTCCTTGTATACATGACGCATGCATACGCCTTTTCGCTTGCGTCGCTGAAGCCGTGTAACTCGATACGCTCGTTTGTGCCGTTTATCCATCTAGGTATTGATATGTTTGTTATTTCCTTTAATTCGTTTCGAATCTTTTCCCAACTTGTTGCTACATTACTAGGTATTTGTTCATCCCACGCTAAGTTGTTGTTCCATAGTTGTTGAAATAAAATCTTCGTCCCTATGATGATAGGAGCTAGCCAGCCGAGCGGATCATATAACTTGCTTATGTCCGACAGTAACATCCGCTTAGTAAATTTGTTTTGATCACGTGACGGCATGTCCCAATTAAAACAAAAAACGTCTTCCGCTGTCTTCCATCCAATGCCCAAAGTTTTCATAATGGAATCGTGCTTAAAGTTGAAGACATGACTTTGACTTTTTTGATTTTCTGTCACATCTTGAAGAATAGAAGGTTCGTTAGTCGCCCATTTTCTCAATATGAAACCTCCTTTTTTTAATAAATCATAGAGCTGTTTTTGAAGCTCGCGCGCTCCTTCCATAGTGTCATGGCCTGTGATTACGTCATCCATGTAAAATTGGTGACGTAACGCCTGTTGCGCCATAGGATACGCGTCGCCTTCGTCGTTCGCTAGCTGTTGTAGAGTTCGCATCGCTAAGAAAGGTGCCGCTTTTGTTCCGTATGTAACGGTACAAAGCTCCATTTCTTGTAAGGGGTCGCGTGGAGATTGGCGCCAGATAATTTTTTGCAGTGACCGTTGATCCTTATGAAGCAAAATCGCACGGAACATCTT